GAGGAACAGGTCACACTGGATGAGATGTGACGCCAGCATTCGCAGAGCCAACACGGCAGCATGTGGCTGCTGGGACAGTGGTAGGGGCCTCTCCAGTGTCAGCTTCTCCCTTAGGTCTGGGAAGAGTCGGGAACATGCAGCCGTAGTCGTGCAGGGTCTGGTCATGAGTGCAGGGATGCGGAGCCCCAAAGTCAGGGGTGGCCGCACCCTGAGGTGGTGGCTTTGCAGTAAATTGTGGTTTCAGGGAGAAATGGAGTGAGCAGAATGGAAGCCAGGTAGAGTGTGGGGGCAGCACCGGGCCGTGCGCTCCCGGGAGCGACAATCTTTGCTTCCCCCAATGTCTCCTGGAATGATGACTTCTCTGGAACCTTCAGTGGTCATATATATATATTTTTTCTCAGTCCTAACAAAGAAGAGTAGCAGAAGCAGAAAGCAACAAAGCAAGAGGAAAGGACATAAGAGAAGGAGAAGAAACTCAGGACAGATCCTCCCAATCAGCAAGAAAAGCTGAATGGCTCATGCTATGTTCATACAGAAATAAAACATCATAGAACTCATTCATGCTTTATTTTAGGGAAGGAAAGAAATGAAACCTTTTTGGGTCAGCATGAAGAAAAAGACACAGCACAGGTGGCAGCAGCCGCTGCTTTCCCTGCACCCTCCTTTCTTAGCAGGGGTGCTGTCTAGTGTGGTTGCTGGACTCAGACACTCCTGGTCAGAGGCCTTTTCAGGTGGTGCTGGCAACCTGCTGTGAGCTGCCGGAAGAGACGGGACAAAGGGCCCAAACAGGCAGCACTTCCCCAGAAAGTGGGGTGAGGGGAAGGCCCCAAACAATCTCATTCAGTATGTCCCGCATTCGGGCCTCAATCTCGTTCAGTACATCCCGCATGCAGACCTGTGCGTGAACTCTGAGCACCTATGCGTGTGCACTGCTTCACAGATGAAAAAGTTCGGCAATGAATAAAGGAGCCTCGAAGAGCCACAAAGCCTTCTAGAGGGGGGCAGAGTCCCACCGGATATCCAGGAAGAGGTGTGCCAGCTCCCGCCACCGTGGGCCCGACCTGACTTCGAGGCCCTTCCCAGTGCTGCTGAGATGGGCTGGGCACTCGTAACACTTCTGATCATTTTAGAGATTGGGAAGCAGAGGCTCTGAGAAGTCGGTGCTTGCTGGGGTCACAAAGGTAGGCAGCAGTGGCCCCAAAGCTCTAGATAGTACAGGCTACTTGACCTCCCCAGTAAAGTCCCAAAGCCCACTGTTTTCACCCGTCACAATCCTCACTTCCCGCTCTCTGCACACACCCACCTCTTCCACGGCTTCTCTTGCCTGCTAGACAGACAGCAGGGTCCGCAGCAGAGTCCTCCCTGCATGCCCAAGTACTGCGCACAGGCTCCGGAAATAGTGAGTGCTCACAGGCATGGGACCCAATGCCGGGGAGTTTCTCAGCGAGCTCAGCCTCTGCACACACCCGCAAGCTGGAGACCACGCCTTCCTTGCTCCCCTGTAGAACCCACTCTCCATTCATGCCCCAGGCTTTCTGCCTCTGATGTTTTAAAGACCTTATTAGTATTTGGGGGTGAAGAACTGCCTCTCACTGGTGACAGTTGTTTCTATCTACATGTCACTGTATGTTTAGGGAACCTGTGTGTTAAAAAGGTGGTAAGGTGATGTGCAAAGACCTGATTACACCAGGACCTGAGGGGGCTGGGAAGTACTGGGGATGGCAGAGAGGAATGGGGGCTCCTCCCATGGGAGGCCTCCCTAGTCAGAGGCTGTCAGTACTGTCTGTGCCTCCAATGGACAGAGAAGGGCAGGATTTCCAAGATGGGGGTCTCGACTGGCATTGAAGGCCCTGGCCCCTTGCATCTGACCCTCTTCCTGGCTTGCCCATCCCTTCCTCCCTCTCTGCTTGCACCTCAACTGTCCTTCCCAGTTTTCTGAGTGCCTCTCCTGCAGCATGCCTTCCCCGAGGCTCTCCCTGGGGTCTGGCCAGGCCTGTGTCTCCTCTCCTCTTCCGGCAGGTGCATGTGCGAGTCACCTCTGAGTTCCAGGTCTCCAGTCCAGGGGCAGGGCCTGGGGGCTCAGGGGCTGTGCTGGACAGGGAGGGCTGCTGTTCCCATGCACGGGGGTCTGGGGAACTGGGTAGGGGGCTCCAGCCTGGGGCAAGTGCCTAACCTCTCTCAGGACCTGGGGACCCTGCTCGCTGCCACCCCCGCCTGCTGCTGCTGGAGATGAAAGCCATGGATGGAAAAAGCCTAGGAATCACTTCCAGGGACTGGGAAGATCTAAGCAGGGAGGGAAATGTTTTTAAAAATTCATATAAAATTAACCATTTTAAAGTGAACAATTCAGTGGCGTTTAGAACATCACAACGGTGTGCGGTCCCCACCTCCATCTAGTTCCAAAACATTTCCATCGCTCCAAAGTCAACCCCCTCACCCGTGAAGCAGTTTCTCCCTGCTCCCACAAGTAGGGTGTGTTTCTTTTTCCTTCCAACTGATGGTCATGTCTTTGAAAGAGAAGGATCTAGAAACACAGGTGGTCCTATAAGCCTGGCTTTCTGAACACAGTAGCCAGGCCTCCTGCCACACTGCGCTCTTGCCTCACTAGTCAGCTAGGAGATAAGGAAGAAAGGGTTTGCCCAGACTGGCTGCTTTGAGTTGAGGGCTTTAAATACAAATCAAGGAGAAAAAAGTAACTTGTGGATATGGTTTGGCTGTGTCCCCAACCAAATATCATCCTGAATTATGACTCCTATAATCCTGACGAGTCGTGGGAGGGACCCAGGGGGAGGTAATTGAATCATGGGGGTGGGTTTTTGCCATGCTATTCTCATGAGAGTGAATACGTCTCATGAGATCTGATGGTTTTATAAAGGGGAGTTTCCCCTGCACATGCTCTCTTGCCTGCTGCCATGTAAGTCGTCCCTTTGCTCCTCCTTTGCCTTCTGCCATGATTGTGAGCTCTCCCCAGCCATGTGGATCTGTGAGTCCATTAAACCTCTCTTTCTTTACAAATTATGCAGTCTTAGGTATTTCTTCATAGCAGTATGAAAATGGACTATACACTTGTAAAACTTAGATTATCAACAATAGTATTTTTTTGTATATATATCGACATAGTTTAGATATATGTCCCTGACAAGTCTCATGTTAAAATGTAATCCCCAGTGTTGGAGATGAGCCCTGGTGGGAGGTGTTTGGCTCATGGAGGCAGATCCCTCATGGCTTGGTGCTGTTCTCACGGTAGTGACTGATTCTCACGAGATCTGGTTAAGTGCATGGCACCTCCCCTGGCCCTCTCTCCCACTCCTGCTCTGGCCATGTGATATGCCTGTTCCCCCTTCACCTTCCACCGTGATTGGAAGCTTCCTGGGGCTTCCCAAGAAGCAGATGCCAGTGCCCTGATTCCTGCACAGCCTGCAGAACTGTGGGCCAAGAGCCAATTCAGTCTCTTTTCTTTATCAATGCCCCAGTCTCAGGTATTCCTTCACAGCAACGTAAGAACAGCCTAACACACAAATATACATATCACATATATTATGTAAAAATATGCCTTTACATAGATTATAGATTTGTATTTTGTATATAGAATATGTAAGTTATAAATTATATGTTTCCATTATAAGTGTATACACATGTATATGCATACACACACCCATATATGATTAGGACAAGGCCCTCCCTTAGCCACTGAGAGACTGCAGGGAGTGGGCAAGGTGCTCACCCCGTCTCCCAGTGGGCCCTGAAGTCCCTCAGAGGCACTTCCTGTTTGTCTGCAGGCCCTCCCCACACCTGCCTCCAGCAGTGAAGCCCTCCCTCCCAGACCTTCTGGGGCACCCTGGGGAGCTGGTGGGGCCCATGGCCAACCTGCTCCACATGAAGGCGTCGAGGTGTCTGGGTAAGGGCACCTTCTGGCCCTGAGGCAGGCTCAGCGGTAACACCTTAGTGAGGAGGCAAAGATGAGATGTGAGATCATTGTGGGATGCCCCACAGCAGCCACTGGGAGGGAAGGAAGACCCATTCCTGAAATGTCTGAGGAGCAACAGGCAGCAGCAAGGCAGGCCCTCAGGACTTTCACAGCCTCACTCCACCCCTCGGCCCACACGCTCCTGACTGGACCAGTGGCAGAGGAGATGAGGAGACCTGCTTGGACCTAATCCTGACTGCAAGGAGGAGCTGTCTGGTAAAGCGACAGAGACGGGAGCCTCAGGACAGACCACCACCGTCTGAGAGTTTGCGATAGAAGGAGGGGCACAGTCAGATGCTCCCTATGTTCTTCTAGAAGACAGACTTTTATTTTTTGTAGAGATAGGGGTCTCACCATGCTGTCCAGGCTGGTCTCGAACTTCTGGCCTCCCAAACTGTTGGGATTACAGGTGTGAGCCACCACACATGGCCTAGAAAATAGATTTTAATAAACTCAGAGGAAACAAAGAGGAGGTGATGGGATCCAATGGGCTGAAGCTCACAGTGGCAGCTGAATTGAGAGGAGTGGGGCTCTCACAGTGCCCTTCTCACCAGCACAGGAAGGCTCCAAAGAGAAGCAAGTGCCACCAGGACCAGCGAGACTCTGCTAAGCAGATAATCTGCCCACCAAATCCCACTTATTTTAGAAAATCTAGTGTATCAAAGATTAAGGCAGGCTGAAATAATATGGATTTCAGCAAAGCATCTGACAAAATTTCTCATGTTATCTATGTATACAAGATGGATAAATACAAGTGGCTACTGTGGAGGTTAGCAGAATCCATAACTGGTTGAATCACACATTCAAGAAGCTGATTAAGAGACCAATGCTAACCTTGAATGACCCCTGGGCAAGGTGCCCAGGGCATGATCAATGACTCAAATGAAGACACAAAGGGTATGCTTATCTAATGCATGCCTGATGGGAAGCCGAGGTGGGCAGTCTATAAACCAGATAACAGAGTGAAAACCAAGAAAGTCAAAAAAAGTTGCGATCCTGGGCCAAATGTAATGGAAGGAGTTCACTAGAGACCCACGAAGAGTCCTGTAGCGTAGGTCCAGAAACCCAGCTGTGTTGGATGGAATGGAAGAGGTGCGGAGTAACAGCAGGAGACAGGAAAGAAGGCGGCTGTAGGTGAGTAAGTCAATGATGTAATCTGACTATTTAAACGGAGCATCACAAGGTCACAGTGCCGCAGTCCTGGTGCCTGGATGAGGAGTCACTCGCCCTGGTCTACTTGGAGCTTGAGTGGGGCGCTCAGAGCCAGGACCACCTTCACAGAGGGTCATCCCAGGGGCCTTTAAGGAGGCCAGGGTGGGGAGGGAACCTGAAGCCAGACCACAGGAGGGAAAGGAGAAGCAGCCATCAGGTTCAATGGCCCAGGAAGGCACAATCCTGTCCATTTCTGTTCATCCTAGCAACCTGCCCAGCACCCCCAGAGCCCAGTATGGTGTCCAGCACATGAGAACTGCAGCAAAAGTGGGGACTGAGGTAAGAGAAGACCTGAGGTGAACATAATCAAATGTCTGCACATGTTTTCATGGTGGTCACAGCATACAGGGCTAGACGCAGACAGCGACTTGCTGGGAAGTTAGGGAGGGAATTTGTGTGTTGGGCAGAAAGCTGATCTGTGGGACTGCTAAATCCCCTCTTAATTCCATAACATCCACGTCTCCTCTCATCTGGGCAGCCTTTTCGTATTTTAAAATATCTAGAGGTTTGCAAAACATAATTCTTAAAATCAACGGCATGCATTCTTCATGCGTTCCAAAAGAATGTTCATGAATCATCTCTGTCCTGGCTTCTCCTGGGGAGCCATGTTTACTTCCTTCCTTTCTTTTTCCCTAGCTGAAACCAGCATTTTGTCTTTGTTATTCTTTTAGAGCAGAGAGACTGTGATGTTCTAGCATTTAGTCTATTTCTGAGTCCCATGCAGGGTGACATGCTGTTCGAGGAACTGGAGACACAGCTGTGAATGAGACGCACATTTTCACCCCTGACCTGTCCCTTCCACGCAGCCTAAGGACTTGGATGAGGCTTCCCCTGCCGACACTACCTGACCAGTCTGCAGTCACAACCCAGATGCAGGGACAGCACCTGCCCTTTCCTTGGCAGAGCCAAAGATGACACCCAGGTACACAGCGGCCCTCTCTCCAGGCCTTAGAGCTCTCAGTGTGCCATGACAAAGCCCCCCACCCCCAACAAACCTGGGAGGTAGAGGAATTCTCCCGAACCCCAGTTCTACAAAATAGAAAAGGAAAGGAAATTCATGCTTACTGCCCACACACAAGGTGATGAACATGCATCAAATAACTCAAGCCTCAACATTACCACTTAATGTGGTTTGAATCTGTGTCCCCACCCAAATCTCACGTTCAATTGTAATCCCCGATATTGGAGTGGGGCCTGGCGGGAGATGACTGAATTATGCGGGGAGAGGATTTCTTGTGGATGGTTTAACAGCATTCCCCCCCTTGGTGCTGTCCTCATGATAGTGAGTGAGTCCTTGCGAGATCTGGTTGTTTAAAGATGTGTGGCGCCTTCCCCTCTGGCTTTCTTGTTCCTGCTCTGGCCATGTAATGAGCCTGTTCTGGATCTGCCTCCACCATGATTGAAAGCTTCCTGAGGGCTCCCCAGAAGCAGATGCTGCCATGCTTCCTGTACAGCCTGCAGAACCATGAGTCAATTAAACCTCTTTTCTTATAAATTACCAAGTCTCAGGTATTTCTTTATAGTAATACAAGAATGAACTAATACACCACTTGCAAGGCTTAGAGGAGTTATGAGGCTTGGCTGGAGCCAGGATTCAAACCCAGAGTGTAACCTGCACTGGGTCTATGGGGGGCTGTGGCAGGGAAGGAGGGGCTTGGAGCTTGGCAGACCTGAGTTTTTGCTGCAGCTCAGGAGGTGCAGATGTGCAGCTGTGCACAGGCCACCCCACCTCTCTGAGCCTTACTTGCCCTGTCTGTAAGGTGGGCATAATACTACAGCTGTCTCCGCGGGTGAGGGTGAAGAAAAATGAAATAAGACAACAGAGATAAAGTACCCACCATGTAGGGAGGGCTGGTCAGCTAACCGTGGCTTCTGCTCTTACCAAAAGCCATGCGCTGGGGCAGGTTTCCTTTCAGTACCCGACCAGTGCTTTCTTCTTCTTCTTGTTTTAAAAAAATTTTTTTATTTTTGGTGGCAGTTTTAACAAAATGCTGATCCACAGCATCGAGCTACCACCAGCAGATGAAAGCAAGGATGTGCCTCTGGCTCTGTGGCGCAATTAGCATTCTCCTAAACAAACGAGCTTCAACAGAGCTGTAATTAAGCAGGCCTGTAATTAAGTATATGCCCTTTATCATAACGATCATGCTTAAAAATGGCATGATGCATGGAACTCTGTTATTAATGCTGTAATCCCAAACTGAAGTGCGAGTACATAGAAATCAGCGTGTCAGGCCTGTCACCAGAGTGTTTGTAAAATACATTAAAGAAAAAACCCAGAAAACAATGAGCTCATTCAACTGTTCTTTTTACAATCAGGCACTACAAGTCAAGGGGATTGTGAATGCTTACAGATTCTGCAAGGTTTAAACAAATAAAGCTCTAATCTGCTACTGTATTAATCCCACCCCCTATTTTAAAGAAGGAAAAAGGGGGTGCTGGGTTTTTTTTTTTTTTTGCCAGCTGACCTGAACGCCTGTCTTTGCTATTCTTGGGGAAGCAGTCAGTCCAATCTGCATGCTGCATTTGTTTGGACATAAAATTGGATTCCTGCTTGCACAGACAGCTCTGCCATGAATCTGTAGGAACTTTGCCTGGCAACGAGATGGGATTATAGCTCCTGCATCCTCCCTTCGTATAGGAACTATAATTTTACCCGCCAAGGCAGTCCTCCAGAGCCATCCCTTGTTTCTCCCCTCCAAACACACACCTCAGACTTCTGCAGGCTCAACACAAACCCACCACCGACCAATTCCCAAGGGCTCCGGACTAAGGACCACCCATCGCCCCGGAATACCTAGTTGCTCAGAGCTGCCAACCCTTATCCCTCTCCAGTGTGTCAGTACACAGACGGGATGAGGAAATACTCCAGTCAGCACATGGATTAATTTCAACACGCTTGATAAAGAGAGTCATAAAATCTTGTGGTAAAAATGTAAAAATTAAAAAAAAAAAAGACTCCATTACCAGCATCTCAATTGTTATCTGCTTAAAGTTGTCAAGCGGTGTTAAGTGAACTCGGGTAATAGTACCTCAAAGTACTTGCAGAGATGCTGGTGAACAATGAGGCTTATTGGCAGGTAGTCATTTTCGGAATAAAATTAAATGCAACGGGAGTGGTGGGAGGCCTTTAATTCTGTGTGCCTGCTCGGGGCTTGAAGCTGTAAATAGTCAGCAACCCCAAGCCTTTCTTCTCCCCTTTCCTGTGGCGTTTCAAAAGTCCTTTACAATTTGTGATGGGAAAAATGCCAGCAACTCAAGATCTCAAGGCCATTTCTCAAAACTCATTTGCAAACCAAAACACAGAGCCTGTTTTGCTTTCTTGGTGATTTCACTTTGGGGATATTCCTTGGAAGATATTTGTAGATGCCTCCAGAGCTGTCTGCTCAGTGACATTCCAATTGAGTTTACACAGGGCCAACAACTTCCTTCTAGATCCCCAAAGTAATTTGTTTTGCCATGTTATTCATAAGCCAAAAGGAGTGATTTATCAGCCACTGCCGGAGCCTCCCGCGTCCCCTGCGTGAGAGGCAGCATGGGAGGACGGAGTACAGGCGCCGGAGTCGGACCCGTGTGAGCGTTCAGCCGGACCCAGTGCTTGTTAGCTGTGTGGCTTTGGGCAAGTCACTTAACCTCCGAGTCAGATTTTCATCCGTCAAACGAGGATCATCGTGCCCACTCCGCAGCACCGCTGAGGGACCAGACAGCAACGGGAAAGAACAGCCCAACCACAGCAGCCACTCAGAAAATGGGGGCAAGGCTGCAGTTTTATGTCAAAAGCAGCTGACTGTTTCTGCAGGAAATGAGTTCAGACCAGGCCCCACCTCTAACTAGTTCTGTAATTTGGGACAAGTGTTTAACGTCTCTGAGCCTCTGTTTCCTCAGCTGTAGAAGAGAGAAAATAATAATACCTGGACTGCAATGACATTCAAACAAGATAAAAACATTAAGCCCTAGGTACAAACTAACTGCTCAGTAACTGTTCGCCGTTCGTATTAGTGTTAGTGTTATTACTGCTGTACAGAGGAAAATACCCTTTCACGGTTGACCTTTTTCTACCTGCTTTCACACAAGAACATAAGTGCAGCCATATTACATTACACAATCCATAGGCTGTGAGACCCAATCCAAAGACGTTTGGTGGGACGGAAGCAATGTGTGCCAAGGAGTGACTCACTGGGTCCCCCAGACCGGGGTACCCTCACACCATAAACGAACGTTCTCTGAGGTTCCATTTGGCATGAGCAATCTGAATATTACACATACACACACACACACACATACATACACACACATACACACACACACACGGCACTGACTCCTCCTAGGCTCCCCGTCTCTACACAGGAGACTCTAATTGACGGGCCCGCTTCATCCCTCTGCATTCCTAGCATCCTGGGAGGAATCCAGGGCCACCAGCCCACCCACCTCCTCCTTCAGGGCAGTCCCTCCCTCCAGGGCCCAGGGTGCAGTGCCGGGCTGCAGAAACTCATGCAGGTCCAGGTCAGTTCTCTGAAAGCTGTGGGAGCACAGAGGGAGGGCAGCTGCCCCACAGACCACACCCACGAGAAACTTGACACACAACAATAAGAACATTCTCACTGAGACTCAGAAGCTTGGATCTTGCTTTCAAGTCGAGCTTGACTTGCAACACCAGAGAAAGCAGACATCAGGGAGAGCCATGGTCTGGGGCACCCAATGAGTTACTTCTCAGTAAACATTGCTTTTGTCCCTCCAAATGTCTTTGGGTTGGGACTCACGGCCCCTGGGTTATGTAATTTAATATGGTTGCACTCCTGTTTTTATGTGAAAGCAGGCAGAAAGGGGTCTACCGCGAAAGGGTGTTTTCCTCTGTACAGCAGTAATAACACTAATACTGACTAATACTAACACTAGTGGCTAACAGTTACTGAGCAGTTAGTTTGCACCTAGGGCCTTATGTTTTTATCTCATTTAAACATCATAGCAATCCAGGTATTATTTTCTTTCTTCCACAGTTTAGAAAAGAGAGGCTCAGAGACATTCAAGAAAATTTTTTAACATTATAAATATTTAATGGCTTGGGGTAGGGATCAACTGCATTTTGCTCAAGGTAAAGATAAAACACAACTCAGTGATACTTCTCCACGTGAGTACAAAGGTGCCCTGGTGGCTGAGAGGCCACTGGGTCAGTGCACACACCTGCTGCCCACAGTGACGAACACAGAAACTCCTCAGTGAGCTCGAGACCAAAGGAGCTTTGTAGATGCAGAACAAAAAGAACCAAGGTCCAATGCAGATATGTTACCTCTAGTAGCGACCACATCCTCTGGAAGAAGGCAAGCTCTAAAACAGGCAGTGTGATCTGCAGCCAAGGGGGGTAACTGAAAGCAAGGGCCTGGCAGGCATGGCCTGTGACTGCTGAACACGCTGTCCCTGGGGCTGAGCATCACATATACCCCCGGGTTGTGGAGCAGGGAACCTCAGGCTTGGAAGACGCACTTTCTCTGCCAGGGCTCTTTTTACCTTCTCAAAACCAATCCATAAATATTTTTAAGTTGCACTCTTTCATACTTCAGCACAGGAATATATTTTCAAAGGAAACCATTCCAATAGGATAGCTAAGTTAAAGCACCCCTTGCATCCAGAGCCGCTGATCCCTGGGCCCTTCTCAGAGCAAGCCTTGGTAGTGGTCTGTACACAGCGCCTGGGGTCCCGCCGGCCTGTTTCCTATGCGTTCACCTGCGTGTTTGCATGTATAGAAAAAAGACAGAATTTTATTTTTTAATTTTTCAGACATGGGCTCTTGTTCTATCACCCAGGCCAGTGTGCAGTGGTGCCATCATAGCTCTCCATAGCCCTGAACTCCTGGGCTCAAGGGGTCTTCCTGCCTCAGCCTCCCAAGTAGCTGGGATTACAGGCATGAGCCACTACAGCTGGCCAGAATTTTGTTTTGTATGTATTTGTGTTTTTAATAAAAATAGCATCACAGCATAAGTAACTGTTTTGCAAT